AGGCTCAAAGCATTTTTACAGATCATTTCAGAGAAATCCTCCAGCCTCAAGGAGGAGATTTCAGATTGCTTCTTAACCCAGTTTAGGAAGAAAGAGAAACCCTCTGCACTGGATGAAAGACTGAAACACTGAATTTGCCAGCTAGTATCTTGTGTAACAAAGATGATGTGCAGGATGCTGATTTCTGCTGAGCCTTGCAATCCTCAGGATGCCTGCATTGCCTTCTTTTAAAGTTGGCTGGCCAGAGGTTAGCTTAAAAATTAAAGCAAAATGAAATAAAATGGTTGAGATCCTAGAGTTTTGAGTCTCTGCTCTGTTTGCAGAGTCAAGATGCTGCTGCTGCTGCACTTTCTTCTCAGGCATTCCTCCTTTTTCTGTCTTTCCTTAGGGAATTGTTGTTTTACCTATAGAAGCAAATAAGTTATGTTTAGTCCATTAAGTCCTGTTCTCACTTTTTTGTTTCCTCAGTGTTAGATGTTCTAGTCTATCCAAATATACACAATTTATAAAATTTATGCTTTTAAACAGGAGTTTGTGGTATCTCCTCTTTAACTCCTGTTTTAACATTTCTCCATTTTTCAGTCTGTCTGCTTACTGCAGTTGCTCTCTTGTAAATATTATTTGTCCTTTTTCTTCTTTTAATTCTTTTGAGACGGAATTCATTTATTGTTTCTACTTAACGTTGTTCTATTCATCAACTGTTGTGGGAACTGCTGGGATAAACTTTGTGTACAGGAAACTGTTTTCCCTGTCAGGACAAACATGTTTGTACATCGTGGGCAATTGAACCTGCATGCTGACAAATCAGTAAGACCATTCCCACTTCTTGAGGTTTCTTATAGAATATTGTCTGTTATTCTACAAATGAGTCATATTTTTTAGTATCCAAGCCTTCAAAGTTTTAACTTGAAAATATGAACTTAATTGATGAAAGCATTATTTCATACCTCTTTGTGTTGACCCCAATGGGAAGATCAAAGAGGAGACTGGGACTGCGTTCTGCCCAGAGATCACAGCCCTGATTGGGTCCCTGGCTGTTAGTACTGTGTGTGCATTTGCAGTCAGCAATTCCCCCTGCCATCAGAGAGCCAGCAGTTTAAGTAGATGTGGTTGAAGGGGAAAGGGAGGAGGAGAAAAACTTAATTATTTGCCCAAACTGTGCAGGTAAGAATAGAATCAGTTTCTTCTACTTGGGAACTAATACCAGTTCTCCTCATTTCTTTTTATGAATATTGAAGGCTTGGTAAACCAAGGCAAAGCATTTGTAATGTATATTTTCTATGTGTACTGTTCATCAGATTTCTGGTTTGTATAAATGGTCATCAAGCACTGCATTCTTTTGAGTAAATGAAAGCATTTTTAAATTACTTTCCTGGCTTAGTATTTTTCTTTGGCTACACTAAGTTTATTCACTGGTGGTGTTACGGTATAGTATCTGAGGAAGCAGAATGCTTTTGCTTTGGAGTTGCAGGTTGATTTCATTCAGTTGTGTGTCAGTGTGATAAGGTTTCTTCAGTAATCTGAGGTCAAAGATGACATAATGTTCAAAATTCACATTTAAGTCGTCTTCAGAGGTGTGTCCAAAATGAAATTTTATCTCATCAGTGCTTCCTCCTCTACTATATAGACATTCACAAGAATGCAGAGAAATTATGGCAAAACGTGCCCCTTACCATCTTGTGGCACTTCATGGCAACCCAGATCTTGTTGTGGACTAAATGAAAAGATGAATATGTGCTGATTTGGTTCTGTAACAGCAAAAGTGGGGACCACAGTGAAGAGTGCTTCATCATCTGGCACTTTGTGAAAGAGAGAAGATTGCTGACCTCTTTGGAGCCATGGAGCTGTGTCACTGGATTTCTGAATGGAGAGAAGAGTAGAGCAACAAGCATCTGCTTCTGAAGCTTAAAAGGAAAGGAAAGAGCTGCTAATTACTAGAGTTGCAATGGAACGCTCTCAGGTGGCAGAGAAGAGGGAAGAAAGAGGTTTGCTGGCTACCAGAAGTGGTTTAACACTTTTCCCTTTTGGTCAGTTTTCAGACACCTGACAGAATCATGGGTCATTTTATATCCTGATAATCAGTCAGTTGGATAGAGTTCTTTCACTCTTGATTTTTGCTTTTGTCATGGTTGTGGGACTAATGAGTCTCACTTTCCATACTACCTGCACACCCAAGTATTTATGAAGCCTACTTGTGCACAGGAGTAGTGTTGAAGTGAATGTCTGTGTAAATCTGGACCTGGAGGAGTTCAGGCCTGAGCGATTTTTCCCTGAAAATTGTAAGGGAAGGCACTGTATGCTTTCCACATATTTAACGTTGTCGATAGTGTGTGTGTATCCATCGCTTTTTTAGCTGAGGTCTCTGGTCTCACTAGTGGACGATGTGGAGGGAATTTCACCCCATTTTCCCTGTCAGTCTTGCAATGTTTTCACTGTAGGATTTTCAGCTGGGTGGAGGTGTCAAGGTGTTGGCATCAGGGGTGCTGCTGGGGTGGCCTCTGTGAGAAAAGGCTAGAGAAGAGAACACAGACAGTTCCTGCCAGCTTTGTATTGGACCTACTGCAGGACATAGTTCAGCCCATCAGCCAAGCTGGTGGCACCTCTGTCAGAATGTATTTAAGGGTTAAAAAAAAAGCCAAACAAAAACAGAGGAGGAGTGCGGGCAAAGAGAGAGCAAAACAGCAGCGCAAACACCGAGGTGAAGGAGGGGGAGGAGGTACTCCAGGCACCAGAGCAAAGATTCCCCAGCAGCCCATGGAGGGGGACCCATTCGGGAGCAGGATAAAAGTACAAGGAGGAGGGAGCAGCAGAGAGGAACTTTTTAATCTTTATTTCTCCCTTCCCAGCTTTCTTTTTAATTGGCAATAAATTAAATTAAATTTCCCTGAGTTGAGTCTGTTTTAGCCATGATGGTAACTAGTAAGCAATCTCCCAGTTTTTTAGCATGACTGATGAGCTTTGTCATCCTGTTTTCTCTCTCTGTCCTGTTGAGGAAGGGGAGTGAATGAGCAAATGGGTGGGTGTCTGGGTGCTGGCCAAAGCTAACCCACCACAGCTTCTGACAGGCTGTTTATCTATCGCTATATGTATGCATCCACATCAAATGTGGGCAGTGAATTTCCTAGAGCAAATCTTCCATGTTGCATGAGTGAGAGTGGACAGATTTGTAGTCCTCTGTTTCTGTGACTCTCCCTCACAGGTTCTTACAGATCTTAAACTGACCCTTTTGTTTGTACTCCATGACCTCTGACTTGCTTTGTGTGATGTGTAGCATACTGCTAAATGCCTTCTTTAAACTTGCTGAAGTTTAGCAAGGAGAAGGCCCTGTAGGATATAGCCAAACCACAGAACAGTGGGCAGAATCTCCACCCATGACCTTGGGATGGGTTGTGGCCATCTAACTTGGGCGTATACTTTTTCCTTGACACACAGATGAATAAACATTGGTATGATGCTTTGATAGCTACTTAGTATTAATAACAACATCACTGGTACATTATCAGAATTGCTTTACAACAGCAGGCTGTGTTCTGAGGGATGAGTGGTGGCCCAGGCTGCAACCTGGTTCGTTGCAAGGCATGTTACTAGCCTGTCATGCATCTATCTTCCTGGCATGAAAGATTTTGGTTTCTTAGAGAGGTGGCAGACTTTTGTATTCTGTTTGGGATAGTTCATTCATGCAAAACTTCACATTTTGAAGGAATCTGAAATGATGGCTACAGAACAGAGCAGTTGTTCCTGTATAGTGAAGACCAGGTTGCAGAAACCATAGCAAGGTATGCTTGGTTGAGATGAGCATCACAGCAATTAGTCTGTCTCTGAAAAACAGCTGTGGTGTCTGTCTCTCAAATGCAGTTAATCTCCTTTACCTGTGTGAGGAAAGATAATCCACAGAAGGATTTGAAGCTGGAGTCTTCCTCAAGCTTTGGGCTTTGAAGCCTAGGTTTTTGGGCTACAGTGGTGTGAGGTTCAGCATCAGACCTTAAAATTTCTGTTCTGAGAATGAGGGAGGTCTCCGAGGTGTTCAGCACTAGCGGTGTTTCAAACAGAGGCATGTGGTATATTTTCTTTGTGCAGGTGATGGCTCTTGTAGTCTAAAAATTGCCTTTTTTTTCAGTGTGAGTAGCTGTCTACATAAAGTTTAATCATGTTCTAATTGTGTATGTTGAGAAAGAGGGACACCCTTCCTAAGAAAAACCCTTCCTAATTGCAAATGAATTTTAGTGATTGCTCAGTTAGCAAGCAGTTAGTCTTGCTTACTGTGGATGCTGTGTGTTTTGCAAGGGATGGCAAAAATGACAGGTATGTCTTGGCTGGGGCAAAGAACGAATGCAAAGAGCATACTACAGTTTTTCAGAATACGTTGTGTACTTGCCTTTTGCCCTTCTGTCTTATCAGATCCATTTTAGCCTTGCTTTGCTTTGGGTTTTTGTTTTTCTTGCTGGTAACAATGATTTTTTTCGATTTCTGAATCCAGATCTGCTTTTTAGGGACCAGCAGAAGCCAGTGTAATCGCTGTGCTTATGGGCTGACATAGCTCCCTGACAGGATGCATGCCTTCTGTCAGCATGGGCACATAGGCTTCCAGTTAGGTGGGAGGCTGAGTAAAAGCGGATTTGCACTGTTACGTACATTTACAGAAACAAAGATTCACTAACCAGTGGAGTGCCTGCTGAAACCCAGCACTGAGCAAATAGCTCTCTGGGTGAAAAAGGAATGCTGATCGTAATCTGGTAGAAACTTGTCTCCTACAGAATATCCTCCAAGATTTGTAATGACTGCAAGTCTTAGTGACATAATTATGCCTTAGAGATACCAGACCTCTCATTTCTTCTTTCTTGAATATATCTTTTATATCTCATTCCAGTGTAGCTGCTGCCTTTTGTTAGTAGCAGCATCACCATTGCCAGCTGCTGGCACGATTTTGCAATGCTTGTTCTGCTTTCCCCATGACTTTTCACGTGGTCCCTGCTGTTTCACTGTTTTTCACAGTTTTTCCTGCAGAAGAGATTATCTGCAGTCAGAAATGCAGATTTTGACTCAGTCACAATTTACTGTTTCATCTAATTATCAGTTTCATGAAGGCAACAAACTGTAAGGTTTTTATAAAGAAAAGAGGATAATTACCTAGTATAATTACCTAGCATGTTAACAAAGACAGAAGTTGAGCTTCTTAATCCTTCAAGCTTGCTTCCTTCCTGGGATGTCACCTGAACAAAAGAGGGGACTGATGGCCGTGTAGTTTGCCTTACGTGTTTACAAGACAGAGTAGTTTCTCTTGCTTTCTGTCACAAACTATTACAAATAACAGCAAGAGTAGCAAAGTTCATTTCCAGCTGTTTACCATGCAGAAAAATGCAACCGTCAGCATTTATGATAGTGTTTGCTGGGAGATTTCAGGACCAAAGTGCCAAAATTTACTCCCCTCTACTGTCAAGGGTCATCAGCCCCTCCTCAGCTTCTGATGTTCTGAGCTTTCTCTATTTGTGTTTTTTATCTTTGTTGCTTTGTTTACAATGCTTGTTGGTTTGCTAAAAAATGCCTGTGCAGTCAGTTTTGGTACAAAACAGAGAGGAGAAACATGACTGTGGCTACAAGAAGCTTTTGTGGTATATTGAAGGAGTGAAGTTTTGCAAATTGAGTATGAGCTATGCTGTTTTTCACCAAAATTCTGTTTGACCACAAGGTTTCTGAGCACCAGAGGCTTTGAGGAGCAGGTGCCCAGCAGCCTTGCAGCAGTGAGAAGAAATCCTGGCTCCTCCTGAGGCAGAAAGGACAGCAGGCTTTATGGTGGGTATGGCACCACTTCTACCCAAGCACTTTGCAAGTTGTGATACTGGTGCTGCCAGTTGTGTTACTGGCACCTATTGGCCTGTGATTGAGCATTCAACAGTGAGATCAGCAGAGAAGCATCATTGTGTTTTGCAGTGCTGCTCTTGATGGTGGGTCTGTATGGGCTCTGGTTTGTGTAACCCCTTTGAGCCGATCAACTCAAGAAAGGTACTCCTCATCTGAAGCACTTTAAACCCTTCATGCATCATGTTGGAGAGCACTGGAGCAGTTCTGTATGGCAAACCGGTGTTCCCTGAGCACCTAAAAACAGATGGAGAAAGACGGTGTTCCAAAAACCCATCCTCCCCAAATCAGCGAAAAGGTTTTTCTCTTGACGGCAGTTTGTGTCTTTTCCGTCTGAGGTATTACACCGGCCTCACTCTTCGCTTGAGTCCGAGGAGCCAAGTGAGGGCAAGGAGATGGCACTATTCCCTGTGGCTGCTCTGCCGTCATGAAGTGCTTGCAGGCAGCCTCTCTCTCTGCGTGTGTTTTTTATATCTTTGTTTATTTTCCTGGCAGGAAGCTGCGCCTCAGGGCCCATGTGACAGCTCCGCCTCCCGCGCTTGTGGCCCGGTCCCTGTACACGCCCCGGCTGCTGCTGGCAGCGGAGGTTCCCTGGTAGGGATCGAGGTTGGGAGCAGGAGGCTGAGAGGTGGCGATGGAGGTCGTGCAGGAAGCTGCAGGAGGACCCCAGCTGCTGCACTTGGGGGCTGGGGTTGTCACACTGCTGTTGACGGTTGTGACCGTGTGGTCTCTGCCCTCCCTGTTGGATCACTGGAGACGATGGTGGGTTGCGAAGCCGATCCCGGGTGTCAGCCCCTGCTATCCTGTGCTGGGAAATGCTCCCCTCTTTGAGCGGGATGGAGAAGGTAAGGGCAGCTTGTGCTGTATCCCAGCTGTGAGGTCCCTGCGCTGTGTGGGGCTTTGCTGGAGGAGCCTGTGCTGCTGAGGCGCTTGGGTGGTTGAGCTGTGGCTGGCTGGGGCAGGTTGTAGAGTGTGACATTGGCTTGAGGTCTCTCTGGGGCTGTGGACAACCTGCAGAAAGGAACTGTGTGAGAAGTGGGCAGTGGAGGGGAAAGGAGAGAAACTGGATAAATGTGAGGTTGTTATCAGTAAAAGCTCAGGTGGAGGGTCTGTCTGGCAGTGCTTTCCAGATGCTGATGTTGGACTCAGACCCATTTCCACTTGATGGTGGGGTGGAGCATGAAGGCTATGGAATGTGCTTTTGTGACAGAGGCATGCTGAGTGCTCTCAGAGGAAGTGCTGTTTCACAATGCAGAACACACTGTCCCCCTGGCTATTAGCTGCGACTCAAACAAAGCTTTTAGCATGGGAAGGAAAAGTACTTTACTTTAAACAATATCTTACCCCAAGTGGGCATGTGCAAGGGACTTCAGCATGCTGAGCTGCTGGGTTGTTTTTGGAATTAGCTATGCTTTAGGTGTATGAATTAGGTACAAAAGAATCTGCTGAGTATTTGCAGTATATCCCTCAAAAGCAATCTTTGTGCTCACACTGATCAATGATACTTTCTTTCTGCCAGCTGCTTGAGACAGCACAAAGGTGCTGCAAGTTCCCTTCTGTTAGGTACGCGGTTTTGCACAGGAGCACATTTCTTGAGGAGTCTGTGGTGTGAAAGTGGCTCTGGCTGTGCTGTCAGTGGACCAGCAGACTCTTCTGAGTGTGTTTGTGATGCCTGTGTGTGCTGGTCTGCTCTGTGCACATGTGTTCCTGGCTGTGCTGCCAGAAGGGAGAGCAACTCGTTCATGGGAGGATGGTGAAGCCAAGGGTGACTGCAACGTGGGCATGCACATTGCCCAGTGCTGACACATGCTGAGATGTAGTCCCTGTGTTTACAGGGGTGTACACTCGTATCTTTCCTCTGGATCCAGCCTCGTATCTCAATACAGGTAGGAGAGATCTTTGATGGAAATGAGGGCAAGCAGCTTTCCCTGAAGTTGACATTGGGAAAACAGTAGCAGCTTCATAATCAGGATGTGTATATGAGCCTAACTGAGACAAATATTTTTTTTTTATTATTTCTTCCTTTTTAAAGCTTCTTAAAATAAAATAAAATTCAGCATTACTTCTATCTCCAGAAAGCAATTTGATGGAGACTCTTATGTTCTATGAGTCTCTTAATCTCCTTTGTTAGCAGGAATCACATAGCCTGCGTGCTTTAGTTAAGTCCATGACAATCCCTCTTTGTTCTTATTTATTATGTAAAAATTAATGAAGTTTTGGTTTATAATATTTTTAATTAAAAATATGTCAAAATTGGTAGTTTTTATAAACAAGGGTAAGGTTTTATAGCAGAAAGAAAAATGACTTTTCATCTGATGTTGATTTTATTTATTGATATCAATAGACAAATACTGGAAAACTGTGATATTTTAATCATGGTGATGTTAGAAAAATCATATTAAAATAGTAAAATAATCTTGACACTTAAACCTTTTGGATGAGGTGTCATCAGAATTTTGCTGAAGACTAGGGAATGCTGTATTTGTATATCTATTAGGAAACAGGGTTTTTTTTTTTACTTTTGATTTGAGGACCTTTGAATTTGCAACTCTGCAGAAGCCTTGGAGGGAATGATTTATTATTTAATCTGGTTTCTGAAAGGGCAAAGGCACATTTAATCCTTGAATATCCTGATAGCAGCCACCTCCTTTAGAACTGCGGGATGAACCCGATTGGCCTCTGTGATAACTGGATCTGTGATCAAGGGAAGAGCAGTAGATGGTGTTTAATTTGATTCATTGAGGTCTTTGATACCATCTCCCATGCTTTCTGTATAGCTAAAGCTGACAAGGTGCGGAATGGATAAGTGTATAATAATGTGGGTGGAGAATTGGCTGGATTGCTGAGCTCACTGGTGTGAAGTCCAACTGGCAGCTGGACAATAGTGGTATCTCTCAGGTAGTCCGTGGCATAAACAATCCTATGAGTCTTTGTGCCGTTAGAGATGGGACCATCTGTATTGCCAAATCCACGGTGGCCCTATAAGGGTCACTTACCCTTCAGTAAGATTTCTGAAAGGACAAGTGTGGAATTTAATCCTGCAACAGCCAGATGTCAAAAGCCCCTGCTAGCATTGCAGACCATCACTGATGATTAGGACTGTGAGAGAGTGAGATGATTTAAGCATGTTGGACTAAGAAGTAATTTGTTTGCAGAGAAACAATAACAGTTTAAGGGCTCCAAAGATTTTCTTCAGGAGCCCAGCTATCAGAAACTAGACATTTCAAGGGATAGCAATTCCTGTGCAATGCATCACTTCTGTGCACACCATAAATGAAGTACTTCTCAGTGAGGTCTCAGATGGGAAAAGGCTTGATGCTATACTTTGAAAGTAAAGAAGAGTCTTGATACAGCATTTTGGCTAGTGTCAGCTAAGCCAAAACGTAAGCATAGCCTTGATAAAGTATGATTTGACTCTCAGCTGTTACGAAGAACATTGCAATACAGAATGCCCATGCTGCAGTGCTTTTGAGACTGCTTAGATCAAACTATCTTATCTCCAGCTAGGAGGGGTTTCTGTAGAATAGAGTGCCTTCAAGAGCATAGCCATGAAGAAATGCTCCTGCAGTATAGCTAATAGATAAGTGCAAAATATGCTGTTTGGTCATAGTAGGAAGATAAAACTACAAAAAACCCCATAGTTACAGTGCATATGATGAAAAACAGTTAATTACAGAACTCGCTTATTTAGCAAAACCCCCTTTTAAAAAGATACTGATCTGCTTTTTTCATTACAGGTTTTTTTAAACAACTACAAGTTTATGTTGAGGAGTTCAGGAGTTTACCATTGTTCAAACTTTGGATAGGACCAGTGCCTGTCGTGGTTTTGTATCACCCTGACAGTGTGGAGGTGAGTGTGTTTGTCTCCTGTCTATTCTACTGTGATGCAAAGCAATGTCACAGAATCACAGAATGTTGGGGATTGGAATGGACCTCGAGAGATCATCTAGTCCAATCCCCCTGCCGGAGCAGGAACCTAAATGAGATCACACAGGAAGGTGTCCAGGCAGGTCTTGAATGTCTCCAGAGAAGGAGACTCCATAACCTCCCTGGGCAGCCTGTTCCAGTGCTCTGTCACCGTCACTGTAAAGAAGTTTCTTCTTAAGTTTTAAGCAGAACCTCCTGTGTTCCAGCTCACACCCATTGCTCCTTGTCCTACCATTGGGCATCACTGAGAAGAGCCTGGCTCCATCCTCCTGACATTCACCCTTTACATATTTATGTCCAACCTGTTAGTTTCTATTCTCTCAATGTGAAAAAAAGGGGACTGATTTTACCTGAGATTGTCCTCTGACCCAGTGCTAAAGAATGGCTGAACGTGGAAGAATATAAAAAGCCTAGTCTTGGAAAAAAATAAATACTGAAGATGGCCAGCAAATAAAAGCAACAGCTCAGTAATACAAAGAAGCATGTGTGAAGCTTTCACATGTGTGAAAGCTTCTACTCCCAAGATCAAAATGGACAAGCAGATAGCAGGGAAGATGGAACCACTGAAATAGGGGCAGAACATGAGGAAATGCAGGCTGCAATGCCAGTGTCTATTTGACTTCTACATTAGGACTCAGTGGGTCTGTCTTGATGCCATGAAATGTAGTTGTTATTTTTACTACTGACAATGATTGTCCCTTACCTGGGATGATAGAATTGTTTCTTTATTGGAGTGTTTATTGAAGAGATGGTACTTCTTGCAAGTTTGAATAAGGCTGGAAGCCGTTGAGTTTTCTTTAAACTCTGTCTGTGACATTGTAACATGGATTTTTGTTTTTCAGGAAGGTGAATATCAGTGGTAGTTTTTGGGTATTTAATTCTCAGGATTGGGATATTTACAGAAAGACTTAGGGTATGAACTCAATGCCCCTGTGTACCACCTTGTACTGAAATAGTGTGCATTTTACTGTGGCTGAAGGCAATTTTCTGGAGGAACTGAGGTTGTGTGAAGTAATCTCAACTGAAGAAAACTCTCTCCATCTGGTGAGTGATGTTTGTTCCTCTCCTTTCATTTTTCTGACAGGTTATTCTGAGCAGTTCAAAACACATAGAAAAATCGTACCTGTACAAATTCCTGCATCCGTGGCTGGGCACTGGACTTCTGACGAGGTATAGTGAAATGCAGATGCATTTTTGTCTTTTTGGAATTCGCAGGGTATATGACTGGAAGAGAGCTTGGTGGGCAAAATGCCCTGTACCTCTGGACAGAGATGTAGATAATAGTTGTAGAAGTCTTATTCTTTGTGATGGTTTTTGGTTGCTCTTTAGCAGCTAATGTCCAATAGAAATCTTTTGGCATTATCTCTTTCTTGGCATATTTGGCCATTGTTACTTTTTCATTCAGAGGCTTGAAATGAATGTGAGTTTTGGGATGTTGTATCCTATGGCAAGTGGTGTCATTTAGTCTGCAGTGCTGCATGGTGGATGTTTTGAATGTTGTGATGTGTGTCGAGTGGTTGGACTGTAGCAGAACTGAGACTGTCTGCATCGGGTGCGTGGTCACAGGGCCATGACATTGCTATCACGGAGACATGGTGGGACAGCTCGCATGATTGAAATGCTGTCATGGGTGGTTATGTCCTCTTTAGGAAAGACAGGCCAGCAAGACTGGGTGACAGAGTTGCCCTTTATGTGAGAGAGCAGCTGGAATGTATCCAGCTCCACCTAGAGATGGATGATGAAGTGGAGAGCTTAGGGGTGAGAATTAAGGGGCAGGCTAACACAGGTGACACTGTTGTAGGTGTTTATTATAGACTGCCTGATCAGGATGAGGAGGTTGATGAGGCCTTTACCAGGCAGCTGAAAGTAGCCTCAAGATTCCAGGCCCTAGTTCTCAGTGGGGACTTGAGTCACCCTGATAGTTGTTGGAAAAGCAACACGGCCAGGCACACACAGTCCAAGAGGTTCCTGCAATGTGTAGGCTGTATTGCCTGAAGGCTTTTTGGCATCTCCTTTTGTTGAACGCAGCTATAGAAATGGCGGCTTGTGCTTTGGAAAGAGCTGGAGCAAGAAATATTTCCATTTTGCTTCTTCTTGGGGGTGCTATGGACAGCTTGAAGAGTCATCTGCAGCATGTCCATCTATGAAGGTGTCCTAGGCTGCAGTTTTTACTGTGGATTTCCTGTGATGGTGAGGGTTTTATTTTTGACTTGGAGTTTTTAACCCTTCTCCCTGTTAATTTTGCAGCACTGGGGACAAGTGGCGGTCACGGAGGAAGATGATAACTCCCACGTTCCACTTTGCAATCTTAACTGACTTTCTAGAGGTTATGAATGAACAAGGAGGTATTCTGTTGGAGAAACTTGAGAAGCATGTTGACAAGGAACCATTTGATATCTTTCTGGACATCACTCTATGTGCCCTTGATATCATCTGTGGTAAGTCCTCTTCAGTTATTGTGGCAGGGCTGTAAATGACACAGAGGCTCTTGAGTACAGCTGTGATGTGTTGTGTGAGGAGACAGATGAAGAGGAATGTCTCTGGATATTGTGTGAATGCATGTTCATTCTCCTAAGGCCATCTTTTCTCCTAGGGTGTCTTGTTACATCTGAGGAGGTGAGTTTGTGGGATGGGCAGGGCAGAGGTAGCAGTCTGAAGTGAGGTTGTATTGAGAAGCAGGGTTCCTGGGCATGGAAATGTAAAGCTCATCGTCTGGAAAGGGATGCGAGTACTCACCTGTTGAAGGGATGGTGTGGTGATGGTCAGAAGCTGGGAGCAGTGCTAACTTAACGTGTACAGGCACTCTTCATTTCACTTTGCACTTGTGAACTGTTGATGATTTCCTTCTCCTAGAAACAGCGATGGGCAAGAATGTGGGTGCTCAGGAGAATAAGGATTCTGACTATGTTCGTGCCATCTACAGGTAAATGGATGTTTTCCTTGGCTACTTTGTAGCTGGGCTGGGGTTGAAGTTGATGGTGTCAGGAGTTCATCTGCTGTGGGCCAGGGTGTCACAGATGGAGGTAGAAAACCAAGAAGGCAGGAAAACTTCTGCAGACTTTGATGCGTTTTCTGGTATGAGTGTATGCAATGAGAGGCTGAGGCTTTTGAAGAGGTGTCAGCTGCCGTTCAGTTAATCCATTGATACAGGAGGTTGGAAAAAAAAAAATGGAGCTGCAACATTTCATATCAGCATGAGTGGCAGAATTGGTGCAGGTTCAGACAGCAGATTAAAGCTGTGGTGCTGCTGCTCTGTAGTTCATGGCAGTTATTATGCCATTCAAATTGTATGTGACTGTTCAGTGGATTAGGAAAGGCACAGTCTATATTCCTACCACACTGGTGTATCGGCCTAGAAGAGGTGTAGCTGCTTGTGACATGTCACCCCTAGTCTTTGATGGGGTTTGTTGAGACAGGTGTGTTACGAAAAAAGGAGTGGAATTAGAGAGTTTGATTGTCATTGGTTCCTTGGCCTTTCCCAAACTGTACCATAAGTGGGCCTGAAGTTGGCCTAAATGTAATAGTAACTCCTCAAAGTCTCTGCAGCTAAAAGCATATGCAAGAGCTGAATAAAAATGGCAGTCAGCCCTTCCAAATGTACTCCAGTTGTGTTTGAGCATACTTGAAGTCCCATATTCTTTATTTTATTTTAAATACTTTTCACGTGCAGTCTTGCATATATGGTATCTGGACAGTCAAGTAGTAATGTAATGCTTTCAAATGAGTGTTTGAGGTCTCAGGGAAAGTATTTTGGAACCCTGACCTGAGTAGTCTTTTCAGAATGTACATACATTTTCAGCAATGCTTTACTGATGTGGAGTGGGACTGGACTGGATGACTTAATATGCCTGTTTCAATAAGATTCCAAATAGATGAAAATATGCTCTCCTTCTCAGAGATCAATGCTTAAAGATATAAATCATTGTGATGCTGGGACAGATGACAGAAATTTGAGATGGTTTAAACTCAGGAAATAAATACGAACACCCTTTCCTTCAGATGGATGAGTTTAAACACACACAATATGTTAAGTTCCACTTCACTGGGGGAGGTAGAACTTTTTTTTTTTTTTCCTTGAAAGTGTACTTTAAATTCGTTTTTTGTCAAGAAATGTTACATGATGTAATTGTTGTGCCCCTAGGATGAGTGATCTAATCCAACGGCGGCAGATGAACCCTTGGCTTTGGCCTGATCTTGTATATATGCTATTGAAGGAAGGAAAAGAGCATGAGAGGAACCTCAAGATCCTTCACAATTTTACAGATACAGTATAGATTCTTTTAAAAAATATTTTCTTTAATGGTACATTTCAGTTGTTGGAGCAAAGTCTTGCACTCAGTAGAGAACTTCCAAATGGGAATGAGGTTCCCATTCCCAATGGGAATGAGGTTCCCCCTTGATATGCAGCTATTAAGAGGAGAACTGTCTCTCTGTTGGGATGCCAAGGAATTCCCTGAAAAGAAGACAACAGCTGACTTCCCTGTCAGGAGCTCTGTTGTATTTAAACAAGGGAGTATTCACCTACAAGGGAGTGAAAGGACTTTCAAGTCCTTGACAACTGGAACAAATAACAGGAATTCATTGAACTCTTGTTCTGCCCCAGATTCTCCATATCTGAATCACCTGCAACAGCTCACTGCCAAGTTTGTAGCAGTAAGCACAGGGCTCTACTTGGTAATGCCGCTTGGCCCAGCCATCAGAGATTAAAGCCTGTATTCATTTTCCCCTATTTCGAGCAGAGCTGCTGAGATGAGCAAACACATGCAGGTCCCCACGTCAGCAGTGAGACGCTGACACAGAAACCAGTAAGCATACGTCACTGACTTGGCATAAAATGTGTTCTCTCACCATGTTAGACCGTGCAAGTAACACCTTTTTCTCTCACCAAATAGTTCCCATGGTCTTCATGCCAACAGTTGCCCTCCCAAATCTACCGTTAGGATGCTACCAGAGAGGCTGCTTTTCCTGAAATAGATATATGCACTCCACAATGTCATTGTACCAGTGCCCATGACAAAGGAAATAAGAATTGGACAGAATTGAATGCTCTAGAGCCTTTAGTTTTAATTTTATTTTTAATCATTTTTTGTTGTTGAGAGCAATACCAGTTTATTGAAGGGTTCTGTTTTGCTGTTATGACAATGGTGGTGACAGCAAGAAATCTCTGTCTGTCACTGGGGCTATGCTTTAACCTAAAAAAGGGAAATTCAACCATTGTTCTCATATTGAAGAAAATTTGGGAAGCTTTAGTGTAGTGTCTCTGGCTGTGCTATTTGTAGTCTTGTTGCAAGGTCATGGAGTGGATGCCATTGCTTCTCTTCAGTCTCCTGAATTCCCCAGAGGCTGGAGGTGTGATCCTTTCATTAGTTGTTGGATAGGGTTGAGAATTTCTTCTGGGTGATTGGTCTGTTCAAATTGTGGTGATGTTTTTTGATATGCTATCACTATTGTTGACATTTAGGTTTGGCTTGTTCCAGATATTCTGGATGTGTTTACACTTCTAGATGATCAACAAGTTGTTTGCATAGTTTGGCTGTTTATTTTCTTGATTGCACAAAGGCTATTCAAAGTTCATTCTATTGCTTGGGACAAGAAGGGTTGGTCATATTTCACCTACTAACACAAAAAATCAGTTAGCGTTAATGAGCTAATGACAGCTTTGCTAATTAGGTCATATAGACTGCTACAGATGGCTGTTGTTTTAATAAGTAGGGATCAACCTGTGTGAAGTAGACTGTATGTATGTGCATCGTATCTAATGTAATGATTCTCATCTTAGGTCATTGCAGAAAAAGCTGCAGAGCTTGAAAACACCAAGCAAACAAAATATGATACTGATGGCAACTGTGAAGAAAATGGCTCCAAAAAGAGAAAAGCTTTCCTGGACATGCTGCTGAGTGCAACAGATGATGAAGGGAACAAATTGAGCTACAGGGACATTCGTGAGGAAGTGGATACTTTCATGTTTGAGGTACCCAAGGAACCCATTGGTTTGGTTTTTTGTTTGTTTGTTTTTTTCCCAGAACCTGAGATTCAGCATTTGCAGGTAGTGACTCTTCCTTTTCTTAGTTCAGGAGGTTGCTTTTAGTGTGAAGTTATTTTAGCTCTGGAAGCCTAAGAATAAATCTCTGTAGGGCAGAAACTACTGAAAGATAGAAACGTTTGATCTAGAGTTGTATGCCCTGGCAAAATGTTGGGCAATGCACATGTGGCAGGTGCTGCCTATGTGAGCAGGCTCTACTCATGAAAGTCAGTACTAAGAGCTTAATGGCTGCTGTGGGCCGTGGGCTCTCAGCTTCTATTGCAAACCTCATTAATGCTAAGGAGACCTCTAAATGGTTTCAGTGTTTTGCCTTGCATTTTGTTGGCTCTCCTCGCATTTTGTCCCATGCCACGTTGACTGTAACCTCCTGGTTCCATTGGCAACTGTGCTTTGGTGTACTGTCTTCTCATGTCTGGTTCCCTGTCTAATGAAGTATCTAAACAAGACTTTTACAAGTTTTCCACACACCTCCATGAGGTGGACCTTAAGTCTGTCTCAGAAGAGTTTAATTCAGGGTCATATTACTGCTGTTGTAACCTGGAGAAACTCTCTTCCGTAGCTGGATTTTGAAGAGATGCAGCATCCTGAGCTTCACAAGTGCACCTTTTTAGTACCAAAATCCTTTGTTGGTCACATTTTTCCTTTTCTGTTTCCCTCTTTTTTCTTTTTCCTTTTTTTTCTTTTTTTTTTTGTTTCTCTTCACTTTGTTTTATTTCCTCTCCAAGATTTTATGCAGTGCTGAGAACTGTAGTAGCTGATCCTCTTCTCATAGGAAACCAAGAAGTATTTCCTCCTATGGCCACTGTATTGTATCTCATTAGACCCTTTTTTGGATAGTTTTGTAAACTATGAACAGATTGTGTCCATTGTATATTTCCTGTAGTAGTTGTTGGCCCACTAGATGTTATGTTGTTGACTGGACAGTAGGCAAAAAGATGAACATACATCTGTTTGTGTAGATACTGATAATTCATGCATCCTCTGGGAGGCAGAGGGATGTTTGCTTGTGTTATTTCAACACTTTTCCCTTTTAGTCAGTTTTCAGGCACCTGACAGAATCATGGGTCATCTTATATCCTGATAATCAATGCATTGGATAGAGTTCTTCACTCTTGATTTTTGCTTTTCTTGTGGTTGTGGGACTAATGAGTCTCACTTTCCATACTACCTGCACACCCAAGTGTTTATGAAGCCTACTTGTGCACAGAAGTAGTGTTGAAATGAATTTGTTTGTACATTTGGACCTCTAGGGCCATGATACAACAGCAGCTGCTATGAACTGGGCTCTCTACTTACTTGGATGTAATCCTGAAGCCCAGAGGAAGGTTCACAGAGAACTGGATGAGGTGTTTGGTATGTTTCTGTTCCCCCTTTCGTTAGGGTTGTGGTAGTGGTTGCATTTGTGAGTGGGGATGTGGTGTGTTATAAGCCTAGGTGTAGAAGGGGAGGTAGGAAAATGCCTTGTGGTCCTTCTGGAGCTTTCAATAGCTAGAGGTGATTGGGATAGGTACTGGAAGGTCTGTAGGAGGGTACAGCCCACCTTACATCTTTGGGGCAAGGCATGCATGTTCAATGTATGTGTAGCACCTTCTCCTATGTGATTGTGATGTGTGATGAGAGTTCCTGGAGGGAGCTGGAATGAGCTTGTTTAACCAAAAATGGGGGGTTTTGGTCTTGCTCATCCCCCTATTTGTTTTTGGACAGGCAACACTGAGCGTCCTGTTACAATGGATGATTTGAAGAAGCTTCGGTATCTTGAGTGTGTTCTGAAAGAAGCCCTTCGGCTCTTCCCTTCGGTTCCGCTTTTTGCCCGTACCTTGAGAGAAGATTGCTATATTAGTAAGTAGTGTCCTGCATTTGCCACTTCCTATCCTGCTAGCATCTCCTTAGTGGAGGTGTTTCCCAAGTAAAGAGCAGTGTTGGTTTTTTCTTTACTGTGCTGTTATGTATAGAAAGTCACTTATTTGCTGTTGTTTTGACCCTTCTTCTCCCTTTCCCTTTTCTGTTTAGGCGGATATCAGGTACCAAAAGGCACAAATATTCTTGTCATAACTTATGCCCTGCACAGAGACCCTGAGATCTTCCCTAACCCAGAGGAGTTCAAGCCTGAGCGATTTTTCCCTGAAAATTGTAAGGGAAGGCATCCTTATGCTTACGTGCCTTTCTCAGCTGGTCCCAGGAACTGCATTGGTAGGTAGCTAAAGAGGAAGCCCTTGTAATGTGATAGAGCTGCTTTTGGTAGCTGGTAACTGTGGCAGCAGCAAGTGTATTGGAAATTTAAGTCTTGATGTGCCTGCTGGTCATGTCCTGTCTTCTCCCCACCCCGCTCCTGAATTCTGAGCACTCTCTCCCCTGAAAGCCTCGTACTTGAGCTGCCACATTTTCTTTCTTCCCAAGGGTTTCCTTTCTTCTTGGGGCCAATGTCTATCATGCTGCTGTTTCCTCCTTAATGTCTGTGTGGCCTGGCAGCTTGTTAATGGGCTCCTGTGTTAGGACAGGATTGCTTCCAAATTTCTGATCCTCAGTGTCAGCAAGACAGAACAAGAGAAGGCAAATGTCCTGCACTTGTTTTGCTCTGGAAACATCTCATCTGTGTATCTCCTGATCTCAGGTGTGTGTTGAAAACATGCAGTCTGCAGCTGATGTATTCTTTCCCTCTTTCTGACACCATTCTTGCTCTAGTGTTTTCACTGTCATCCCAGAACTTGTTAGTTCTTCAGGTGCCACTAAGACACTTGGCATTTATCTGTGCTCAAAGTAGGGGCATTACTGTTTGTATTGTAGAACACATGAAAAGACTGTTCTCTGCATGGATCTTAAGTGCAGATAGGGAACATTAGCAATTGCCGTGCCATTTACAAGAACAGCAAATACAACAGCTTCAGGGTTTTTGGTTTTGCTTGCTTTCTTTATGGGGAGTGGGGTTTGGATTTTTTGTTTGTTTGATTTTAATTTGTCTCATTTGGGTATAGGTGCCCTTCTCATAAGAACAGCAGACTAGATCTTCCCGTGTTCCAAAGAGGAATCTAATTTAATATTACATGTCTAGCTAGTTCCTGGGTGTACAGGGGCATGTGCGGGAGAGATGGTTCATTAATATCATTACAGAAATACATAATTCTGTACGTTCGTACAGACATCCGTCTGTGCGTATTGTACAGAAGGGAGCACAAAAAATGTTTTGAGCACTGGGTTTTGTGTCCTGTTCCCATTTTCAGTTTAGTTTGAGTGAACTGCCTGGATTGTAACACTTGTTTTGGTTTCCCTCATATTTCTCTGTTCTCCCCTTTCCTCCTTCACCTTCTTCTGAAATGTAAGTTGAACTTTGCCCTCTGTGCTACCGAATCATCAGTGTGTGTGATGCTTAGTGTTCGCTGAAGGAAGGTCTGTCTGTCGCTGTTGCAGTTGTATCTCTTTTACTCCTCTGCTTACATGGAACAGCGGGATTTGTTTCTCCTCGCAGTCCTTGTGCTGCATCTTCTCCTGCTCTGGTCTGTCATCCATTCCCCCTTGCCTAGTCCATCCAAGAGACATGACAAGGCTGTGTTTTGTGTTAGTTCCGTGTAAAATGTTGAGTGTTTCCTCTTTGCTGTTTGAGTTCTGTGTACTGTGGGAAAGAGGACGTGCAGTGAGTTGTCCCAGGAAGACCAGAGTGCTAGTTTCAGTAATATCCATATGATCTTGATCTTAGCCTAAAGCCAGTTCTGTTCACAAGGCAGATGCACAATCCTTGCTGTCCTTGTTCCGAGGGGTATCACTGGGAGTGTACAAATGTAGCAATTGTTGATGCAACCTGACAATAACTTCTTTTTGTTTTCTTTTTATTTTTCTGCCCTGTAACTTGTAGGTCAGCGCTTTGCACAAATGGAGGAGAAAGCTCTTCTAGCCCTCATCCTGCAGCGCTTTTGGGTGGACTCATGTCAAAAGCCAGAAGAGCTTGGTATAACTGGAGAACTGATTCTTCGTCCAAATAATGGCATCTGGGTTAAGCTGAAGAGGAGGACCAATGCTGGATCAGAATGAAAGGAAATTCAAGATTTTTTTTCCCAAAAACTTCCAAGCTATTTAGGCTGAGATATATTTTTAAATCAGATATTTTGTTGGCAGTCCAACAATTTGTTGAAACTAAAGTCATTACTGGTTGTTTCATTAAAGAAGATGTTGTAATAGCCTTCAATTGCTCTACTTTTCCAGTATGTGTCAACTTCATGTTCATCTTTGAAGTGCAAGTCTTCATACATCAAATATTAGTGCCTTACCTACTCAGATGAAACGATACTATTGCAACAGTGCAAAAAACCTGAAATTATGGTAGTAACAACAGTAATGGCTGTGATGCAGTGATCTGGTTATATTCCATAGCATATGCAAGGTAATTGATAGTCCTAAATCTCTTTATAATTTTCAGGTCTCTTTGGTTCTGAAGGGCACAAGTGATCAATTCTTTCCCTTGAAATGTTTGGTTTTTTTATGTTTTGGTGAAGACTGTGTCTCTGAAGACAAAGCAAAAATATCTGATTATTTCACTCCTCCTTTGTAAGCATTTACAGCAGTTTTTAAGTAGTGAGTGCTCTGAATTATTTTTAACAAAGTGTACCATAAGCATTAATCTGTATAATCATACCATGAACTAGATAGCATGCAAATTACACACAGGATTTAATAATGCCTGAAACACTGTATTATTACAAATTTTGAGAATAAACTTCTACTATGCCTCAATATGGAATGAAATTATATCTGTAAAAATTACATGCCTGGGTGCAGGTAAATTACTGATGGATAATTATTTATCGTCAGTGCTTCTGGGGTGATCAGTTGACCAGATTTTACTGTGTTAGTCAAAGCTGAAACAATGAGCCAGTCTGCTGTTGCCTTCTAGGGTCCTGAAGGCAACATAGAGAATTTCTTCCTAATTGGTGTTAAAGAGGAATTACAATGATGGAATAAAGTGCCTGTGCAAGTTTCTGATTGTACCTTCAAGACAGGTCAAAATCTGCAACAAGCCACACAGCTAGAGAACAGACTCTCTGTGACTTTTTTAAGTGTTGAAGGAAAAGACGATGCAAGCTGAGGTCCTCTAGCTGATCTGCCCTTTAATTCTGCCCTGTACTTTAGCACTTCTTTTGACTGGTGTGTGTTACCCCAGCATGACCCTGTCACTGTACAAAGAAGAGTGCACACTGATAACCACACCTCTGTTTCTATCTGCTGGTGCAGCAGTTGCTCTTGCCACTGTGGCTGGTGGTGGGGGTTTTAGGTGTGCTATCACCTTAAGAAGGTAACTGGATGAGAAACTGGAGGTCAGAGACAATACAGCTAATATGGACTAGTCCACCTCTGATGATTAATGTGTTTCAGAGTAAGAAAGGAGTAATCTGTCCTTACTGGTTTTGTTGACCTTTACAGATTCTTTTCTTTGATCTATTTCCTTGTGCCCTTTTGACAACACTTAGTGGTTTAATACCTGGGATACTGCTGCACTTTGTAGAGCATCAGAATAGAGAGAAAATAATTCCTATGTTTTACAAGTAAATTAAAGGTTTTCTTGAACCTGCTGAATTCTTTATATTCTGATAAACTTAGCTTTTACCATTTTCTCAGGATCTTTTAAAAAGAAAGGATTTAACTGCTTAGTTTACATAAATGAAATCACTGACCTTGGCAAATTGTTATAGTTGCTACCTTTCTTTTGCCATTAAGGAAACAAGTCATGTAACCATAATAATACTATTACGTTCTTCAGACTTCATCTTCAAAGGCAGATGTCATTGCTAGATAATAACAAGAATTCAAGTTTACAGAGCTAATTGTCAAAATTGTTTTTTTTATAATGAGATAACTTTCGAGACCACCTTATTGAGTCATTTGTCATATGCGCATTAACATATGTTTTCCAGAGAGACTCTAAGGTAAGGAATTATTTAACGCTTTTGAGTACTTGATAATGTGAGCTTTGCAGGTGTACAGGATTTGCATCCAGAATATGTTTTCTAGGGCATTCAGTATGTAGCTGAGACCTGGAGAGCATACCTCATGTGTTTTGATAAACTGTATGCTTAAATTGAGGACTTTCAAGACAAATGAAAACTAATATTAACTTTTTTTTTTTTCCTTCCTGCAGGATCTATTTTGTAGAAACAATTTTTAAAACTTACCAAACCATAAAAATTGGTGACTATGTCATTTTTAGGAAAGACAGGCCATCATGGAGAGGTGGTAGAGTTGCTCTTTATGTGAGAGAGCAATTAGAATGTATTGAGGTCTGTCTAGCAGCGGATGAGGTCCGAGTTGAGAGTTTGTGGGTACGAATCAAGGGGCAGGCTGGCATGGGTGATACTGTTGTGGGTGTCTATTACAGGCCACCTGATCAGGACAAGGAAATTGATGAGGCCTTCTACAGACAGCTGGCTGCAGCCTCCCAGTTACAGACCCTGGTTCTCATGGGGGATTTTAACTACCCAGATATTTGCTGGAAAGCCTACGCAGCCAGCCACTCACAGTCCAGGAGGTTCCTCCAGTGCATCGATGATAACTTCCTGATGCAAATGGTGGATGAACCAACTAGGAGAGGGGTGCTGCTGGATTTTATACTCACTAATAAGGAGGGTCTCGTTGAAACAGTGAAGGTTGAGGGCAACCTTGGCTGCAGCAACCATGAGAGGGTGGAGGTC